GTGTGTAATGAGTATTTTTTTAAAAGTAATGTTGTCCTTAAAAGTAATTTTATTAATGAATATTTTAATAATTTTGAAAAGGGAAGTGTGAAAACTAGAAAAGGGGTGTCGTGTCATAGACCCCATATGCAAATTGTCCTCAAAATTCAGTGAATGCACGTAATGGGATCTTCTAGTACTTTACGTCAAAAAAAAAAAAAAAATAATTATTCTAGTACTTAATAATTAAGAATAAAATATAAGTTTATATAAAGGAACTTGCCTTTCACCTCAACATCTTTCGCAGCTCTTCTGAAAACCGCTGGCACAATATTAGCAAGCCTGACTGTTTCGTTAATAACCTGCATGATTACAAAGGGAGGAACACATTGATTAAGAAAAGGAAATACACTACCCATAATTAATAATATAGGAAGAGCTTAAAGCCAATAATATTCATAAATAACCAAGGATCCTATACTCACCATGTGTGTAAAAGTCATGGATTTATATTCTTGCCATGTAATCTCAACGTCCTTCTTGTCACGCTTGTTTATAATTTCCTCATGCTCTTTCTGGAAAATATTCAATTAATACACACCCTTTTATCATAGATAAAATACTGCTGAATTTTCTAATGAAGAAGAATAATCTGTTAATTACGAAAAGATTGAAGAAAATACAAACCGTTAATTCAGCCAGCACTTCGGGATGATCAGAAATAAACTTCACTGCTAATGTAATGCGGTTGACGTGGACTCATAAGCGGCAAAGAGAAGTAAAAAGAGCAAGTCTATAGCCATTTTCTCATTCAAAATTGTTTTTTCTTTCTTCAACTCCTCCAGCAAATGATCCAAGTAATCGCCTTGATTCGCATCTGATGCTTTCCGCTTTTCAAAGATATCTCTGATCACCTTTATGGCATTCTTCTGACCCTAATTTCAATTAATGCATATAAATTTTACGTTGTTGTTCAAAATTAACGGTATCAAATTTTTGGTGTTTGAAATGAGTCTAACCAACCACATAATTTCATCCCATTTAATGGACACACGTAAAAACACGTAAGAGCCACGTTAAGAGCATATTAAAATTCTTAAATGATGTAGCATAATGTTAGTTAGACTACATCTGAAGTATTAAAATTGGATAAGGAATCTGAGTTCAAAATTCACTATATATGATAGACATAAGCACTAAGATAATTTATTGATGAAAACGTTTTTTATACTTGTAAACATGCATGATAAGCAGTTCCTGGGATGTGCAAGGGAAACGAAATAAGCCCGTCCAGAAAAGCATCATTGTAGTTCTCCTTAAGTTTCTTTGAAGTCTTTGTTTCATCGTAACTGATAAGCTTCTTAGCAAAGTATTCGAATAGCAGCTGCATGCCAAATAAAAGGATGTTACATATAATATTTATCGAGTCAGAAATGGAAGCAAGGAAATTCATCAAATTCGAATAACATGCCTTTCTTTAATAACTTTCACCTTAAAAATATCTATTATGAATCAACATCTACAAGTTTTATTTCCTAGAGTTGCACGTATCATATAATTTCTTTTTAAGTAACAAAAGGTTTCGAAATTCGAGGTCTCAACTTATATAGAAAAAGCAAAATTTCATTTTGTTATATCGAATATCTTGTGATTTTAATAAATATTAAGCTAGTATATTGACCTTTTAAAATATATTCTTTTAGTATCTCGGTGTATTTTTTTTTAGGACACGAAAAGATAAACTCGTCTTAATTAATAAATATCTCTTTATTCATCCAAATTTTAAATTAAGAAAAAAAAAAGATTTAAAAGAACTTATCCTTGCAATCAAACACCCAAGTTTAACAAAAACTCTTTTCAAACAATTTTTCGCATCAACATACAAATATTTATAAATAAGGGTAATTTTATCTTTTCGTGTTCTAAAAAACCGCCTTAAGGTATTAAAAAATAATAATTTTTATAAAGTCAAGGTATCTGCTTGATATTATAAAAAATACAACGTACCAACCACATATTTTGATATAACATTAGGGTACCAAAATGAGGTTTTCCCTAAAGAAAACTATATATGTTAAATATATATGCTTACATTAGCACAGACATGTTTCGTTAATCTATAGTTGCTAAAACCAAAGAAGATATAATTCATTATTCTGATCATCTTCAGACTCCTCTTTACAACTAATACATAGAAACAAAAGGTATCCGGCCAGCTTATGAAAACTAAAATGAATCTCATCTTGATCTAAACACTGTTTATCCTATGGCAATTTATATATATATATATATATATATATATCTACATAATATTCTACATATATACATATATAATATTCATGACTGTACAGGAAATTAGTATTTAACTTAGATTTCTGATGATAAAACTTACACACAAACACAGACAAAAGATAGGTTAATTATTATACATAAGCCAAAGTAAAGAATGACTTACATTAGAGGCTACTTCTTTCATATCTACAATGCCTTGACTAGCCCATGAAGGCAGATGCATCCTAGTCGCTTTATCCATTTCAGACAACATCTTTTCCTACAAATTTTCCGGGTTAACAAGTCCTAAAACCTGGTTCTTAAGATACTTATGAATCATTCCATGATGCCCCAAAAAGCTATCTTTTCCAGAAATTTCCATAAAACTCTCTGTATAACAAAGGACGAAAGACTTCCCTTCTTGCTGAAAGATGTAGTGGTTGATTTCAGGATCTGTTGATACAACTATCTGCCGGCCAACTAGATTAGTTCGAAACATTGATCCATATATGTACAGCGTAATACACAAACATGCATATTCATACATGCATATATAAATGTAAATATGAATATAAATATAAATCTATATATATATTTAGCCCGGAAAAAGAGTTATTTATACATTTGCAGTATACTGTTATTACTTGTTCATAAATTATGAACAACATATATCTAGGAGGTATTTTCAGGAAAAAAAAATATATCTATACAGAAATTAAAAGTGGAAACTAGGTCGAATATATGATTATATATAAATACTTCTTTCTGTTTATTATTATTTTTTATTTTTTACCTCTTTTTAAATGAATGGAATAGTAAACATCAAGACGAGTGAAAAAAAAAAAAACGAAATTAGAATTAAGATGAATATAATTGAATTCTATTTACCCATTCAAAACAAATCGTATTGTATATATTAATTAAATCAATACGACTAAATTTATAAAAATTTTATTATCTTATTGTACCCCTAAAAGAAAAAAATTCTTAAACTCCACCACTGCATATACACACACTTAACTACATGCATATGTACATTAATTATAATACAAAAATACAAGAACATACCTTGCTATTATCTTTTTGATGAATGGTGGGATATCATACGACGAATGAGGAGTAAAGAATTCCATGGTCTCTCCGATAATAGGTAAGCCCATTGAACCAGGCGGTAGCTTTCCATTGCACTTGGGATTCTGCCAAGTATGAACCCAATACCATATTATATTAACAAGGATACTAGCGTGGCATAGATCAAGGAAATCCCACATCTTAATCTGGTGAGCTTCCAAGGGATTTGAGTCTAGACGACAATATATACTGATGCTGTGCTTGATAAGCGAGAGGCGAAAGACATATCTATATATATCTGCATATATGATATATACACACACATATATTTATATTTATAGTAACTAGCTATGCAGGTCGATCGGAATATATACTACTAAATTATACAAGTTACAAAATGGCGGAGTCAAAAAAATTAGTTAGGTGGTTTAGAGTATATTGAAATTTTCATTAAGGGCGAGTTCGCTGATTCGAGTTTTTAATTTCAGTTGAGATGCGACCTTGTATGAGAGTTTTTTACTGTAGTAAAAAAGTTAGATGTGACTGTTTCTAAGAGCTTTTTACGGTAGCAAAACTCGAATTCTAAAGTTGAATCAGTGAAATAAACGGAGCCTAAATTTTACTTATAAGATAGTGACATATTTGCCACTTGAGGCTAGCTTAACTAGTTGAATGTATGAATATTGTGTGATTCAAGATATAAATTCTAGCGGTTTTATTTCTTCTTGATATAGTGAAATTGTGAGAAATAAACTTGTATCTTATTGTTGGGATTTGTTTCCCAATTTGTGTATTGATTGTAATCGGATTTGATTGGCATTATTTTAGAAATGTTTTGCTGGGATGATTGCATTTGAAAATATCTATGTAGCTGGCAAGTTTCTTTTGGCAAGTTTTAAAAAATCCAGAAACTTGTTTTAGTTTCTATTTTTCTAAGTCAACCATTTATTCAAAGATGGAAAATTGATTTGATTGATTCTTGATTGAGATTTCATAGCTGGATGATCTTCCTATGTTGCCTAAGAATGTGTCCAGGTTCGTTTATCAATTTTAGAAAGATTTCAGAATTAAAGAAGATTGATTCGTCTGGTTTTGAGAAAGTTGGCCATAACAGCTATGTTGCAGTGTTGTTGCAGCAGGATCTGCAACAGATGTGGTTCAGCGAATTAATTGAAGATGTGTCAAGCTATTCACAGCTTGCTTATTTATTAAAAGTGTTCCTTAAGTCTTGGTACGCCTCTTGATGAGTTTTTACTGGGTTGTGAGACAGGGGTGAGCACTTATATTGAGTGAGATGATTTGAGTGTTTTTCGGGAGAAAAACTTTGTTGGAGGGATTCCAATGTTAAAAAGTCGAGGGGATCTCGTTGTTCAAGTCCATTGGGAAATTGCAAGTTCATAGGCGTCTTCTTAGAGAGGGAGTCTCGGGTAGATTAAGTCCAATTGAATTGTAAAAGAGTTCTTAGTGGATTGTTCATCATCTAAGCGTGGCCCCGCAGAGTAGGGTGTTACCGAACCGCGATACCATTTCTCTCGTGTTCTTTTATTTTATGTCTCTACATTATTCATATTGTCTTATAAATTATTAAAAGACTAAAACCGGTACTAACAGTTGGTATCAGAGCGGGTCACTGACGTGTTTTTCGGTGAGGTCCTAGTGTACTGGTTGATTTTGTAGGAATGGATGTCTTGAGAGAAGGAAGATTTGTGAACAAACCACCACTTCTGGAAGGTGTCAATTACCCCTATTGGAAGGCTCGCATGAAAGCTTTTATTAAAGCTATTGACGAGAAGACATGGCGATCTATCTTAACCGGATGGACTCATCCAACAACTAAAGATGATAAAGGCAATTTCGTCCCTAAGCCAGAAGAGAAATAGTCCAACGATGAGGACAAGCTTGCAAACAGTAATTCAAAAGCTTTAAATGCCATTTTCAATGCTGTGGATGTTAATCAATTTAAATTGATTTCCACGTGTGAAACCGCAAAAGAAGCTTGGGACATTCTTCAAACTGCACATGAAGGCACGGATACTGTAAAGGCTTCAAAGCTTCAAATGCTCACAACTCGCTTTGAACGTTTACGAATGGAGGAGGATGAGTGCATTGCTGATTTCAACTCAAAGCTTTGTGATATTGCCAACGAAGCCTTTGCCCTTGGAGAAAAATATACTGACGCCAAATTGGTGAAGAAGACCTTGAGATCACTTCCGGCACGTTTTGCTTACAAAGTGACAGCCATCGAAGAAGCAAAAAACGTGGAGAAGATGAGACTTGATGAACTCATAGGTAATCTTCAAACCTTTGAGATGAACTTTAAAGCTAAAAAGAAAAGTAGAGGCATTGCTCTTAATGCAGATTATGATGAGATGTCCACCAAAGATGAGACCGACGAAGATGAGGACTTGAGTGAGTCTCTTACTTTTCTCACCAAAAAATTCAATGAAATGCTGAGAAAGTTCAACAAGAAAGGGAGATTTGGAGAGAATTCAAAGAACAAAAATTCTCAAAAGAAGAATTTTAATTCTCAACGGTTTGAAGATAAGAAAAGAAAAGAGGGAATACAATGCCGAGAATGTGAAGGATTTGGACATGTTCAAGCGAAGTGTGCAAACACTCTCAAGAAGAAAAATAAGGCTGCCACGGCGTCATGGAGTGATGATTCAGACGAAAATCAAGAGGATGCAGATGATCACACCAGCAATTATGTGGCTTTCACTGTAACAAATGAATTCTCGGATAAAAATTTATTTTTCACTGATAATGTTGTTACAGAGTCTGTTGCAACAGTGTCTGCAACAACCTCTGGTAGAATTGTTGATGATACAGATTTCGGGGATGAAACTGAAGATGACAGTGACGATGATGACCTAAGCCTTGGGAAGATTCAGGAGGCTTATAAGAAGATGTACAGCAAATGGCTTGTTGTTTGCAAACGAAACAAATCACTTGAAGATGAAGTTGGTGTCTTAACAAAGGAAAGAGATGAGTTGAAGAAGGCTGCAACAAATTATGAAATCTTGGCAACAAAGCATCAAGGAAAGCTTGCTGAGACTAGACTCGAATTGGAGCAGACCCAGAAGAATTTAAGGATGCTAAACTCGGGCACATCAAAATTGGATCACTTACTCTCACAACAAAAAAACTTGTGGTGATCATTCAGGCCTTGGCTCCAAGAAATTCTGGGAAGACTGTCTTTATGAAAGGAGCCACCGGTACTATGATGCAGTCTTTTAAGAAATCTCGGGTAAGATTAGACAAGAAGTTTGTTGTAACAAGGCAAGCAACAAATAGGTTCGTTCCTATTTGTCACTGTTGTAGTTTGCCTGGCCACATTAGACCTAGATGTTACAAATACTTGAATGCTTTAAAAAGAGGTATGATTATTAATCCATCAAATTCCGCATTCACAAGAAGGACACCTAAAGCAAAGATTGATGTGCAAAATAAATTTCCTAGACGTGTGTGGGTAAGGAAATCTGATTTAAGGTGTCTTGGGGCTTATACTTCTTTTAGAGCATGTACTAATAAATCTGAGTATTGTGGTAATGGTCACTTCAAGCTTTTGATAGGTGATAAAAGTAATATGCATCGGAGAATACCATATTCAGGGGGAGTATGACTCGTGGAGGATTCAGGGGGAGCGATTTGCAGGAAGGTGTTGCTCATTTTCTAAAATTTTTGGCTTATTTTTGTCAAAAAGGGGGAGTAAGTAGTCTGGAAACTTGATTTGTGCAAAAGTATTGTGTTTTAGTTGCTATTATTAGTTTTGCCAAAACAATGTCAAAGGGGGAGATTGTTGGGATTTATTTCCCAATTTGTGTATTGATTGTAATCGGATTTGATTGGCATTATTTTAGAAATGTTTTGCTAGGATGATTGCATTTGGAAATATCTATGTAGCTGACAAGTTTCTTTTGGCAAGTTTCAAAAAATCCAGAAACTTGTTTTAGTTTCTATTTTTTAAGTCAACCATTGATTCAAAGATGGAAAATTGATTTGATTGATTCTTGATTGAGATTTCATAGCTGGATGATCTTCCTATATTGCCTAAGAACGTGTCCAGGTTCGTTTATCAATTTTGGGAAGATTTCAGAATTAAAGAAGATTGATTTGTCTGGTTTTGAGAAAGTTGGCCGTAACAGCTATGTTGCAGTGTTGTTGCAACAGGATCTGCAACAGATGTGGTTCAGCGAATTAATTGAAGATGTGTCAAGCTATTCACATCTTGCTTATTTATTGAAAGTGTTCCTTAAGTCTTGGTACGCCTCTTGATGAGTTTTTACTAGGTTGTGAGACATGGGTGAGCACTTATATTGAGTGAGATGATTTGAGTGTTTTTCGGGAGAAAAACTTTGTTGGAGGGATTCCAATGTTAAAAAGTCGACGGGATCTCGTTGTTCAAGTCCATTGGGAAATTGCAAGTTCATAGGCGTCTTGTTAGAGAGGGAATCTCGGGTAGATTAAGTCCAATTGAATTGTAAAAGAGTTCTTAGTGGATTGTTCATCATCTGAGCGTGGCCCCGCGGAGTAGGGTGTTACCGAACCGCGATATTATTTCTCTCGTGTTCTTTTATTTTATGTCTCTACATTATTTATATTGTCTTATAAATTATTAAAAGACTAAAACCGGTACTAACACTTATTAACAAAAAGTAAGACATTTCATATATTATAAGATGAGATAAATAAAGAATTTAAGAATTTTAATGAGACGAGATTTCATTAAATTTCACATATGAAATGAAATTTCACTTGATTTCAGGTATAAAATTAAAAGAAAAAACAAAATGGGAGCCGGACTGTGGTCTAACAGCTCCCCCGTTGAGTTGCAGTAAACAAAATATACATTAATATCATAACTAATATAATGTATCTTACCGCAAGTAGTCACTGAATAACAAATAAGTAATGCTTAAAAAAAAATAAATAAGAGACAACACTGGTTAAAAGAAAAAGAAATAAACAAAATATAAGTTAAAGATGAGAGGTTGGAGGTGGAACACACATCGATGCGCATGGGGATGTGCAGTTTCCCAAGAAGGGGTAAATATTATAGAAGGGAATATAGTGGTTGGATTCAAGTTGCACGGCACATCATGCAGGAGCATCTCCAATATAAATATTGTAATGTCAATTGTATATTTAGTATTAAAAAGTATAATGTGGTATAAGTATTTTTAATGTGATGTTATAATTGATGTGTTAATTGTAATTTAATATTTGAGTGTAAAAAATACTCTCCAATACAATACTATTTGTTGTGTTAAATTTTTCATATGCTATATTTTATGGTAAATTTCTCACCAAGTATATCATATAAGAAATTTAGGGCTTGTTCTTTTAGGGATTGTTCTTTTGAGTGAAAAACTTAAAAAAATACAACTCGAGTTACAACTTTATTCGAGTTCATGTTCTTTTAAGTTTAAACTCGAATTTAAACTCGAGTTCAAACTCGAGTTTAGAACTAAAACTCGAGTTCAAGTTTCCCCTTCAACTCGAGTTCAGAAACTCAAACGCAAATTAATGAACAATATTTTTTCTATTCTTAAAAATGCTATAACTTTTTTGTTTTAATTCTAATTGAGATGATTTTTTTTCTATGCGTTGACAACGAAAAGACAAATAAAACCCGACCCATGTACCATATTAAAATTTTTCATCAGCATTGAGTTTTTATTAAAATACTATCTAAATACAAATTCAAGTTTTGACTCACTCAAACACAAACTCAAAAAGATTCTTATCTCAAACCATAACTCAAATGTACACAACCAAATACAAACTCAAGTTACAAGTTCAACTCAAGTTATAACTCAAATTCAACTCAAGAATTATACTCAAGTTAAACTCCAAAAGAACAAGCCCTTAGAGTTTAACTTAGGTATAATTCTTGAGTTGAATTTGAGTTATAACTTGAGTTGAACTTGTAACTTGAGTTTGTGTTTGGTTGTGTACATTTGAGTTATGGTTTGAGATAAGAATCTTTTTGAGTTTATGTTTGAGTAAGTCAAAACTTGAATTTGTATTTACATAGCATTTTAATAAAAACTCAATGCTGATGAAAAATTTTAATATGGTACATGGGTCGGGTTTTATTTGTCTTTTCGTTGTCAACGCATAGAAAAAAAAGGGCCTGTTCTTTTAGAGTGTGACTTAAGTGTAGTTTTTGAGTTGAATTTGAGTTATAACTTGAGTTGAAGTTGTAATTTGAGTTTGTGTTTGGTTGTGTACATTTGAGTTATGGTTTGAGATAAGAATCTTTTTTTGAGTTTGTGTTTGAGTGAGTCAAAACTTAAATTTGTATTTAGATAGTATTTTAATAAAAACTCAATGGTGATGAAAAATTTTAATAGGGTATATGGGTGGGGTTTTATTCGTCTTTTCGTTGTCAACGCATAGAAAAAAAATCATCTCAATCAGAATTAAAACGAAAAATTTATAACATTTTTAAAAATAAAAAAAATACTGTTCATTAATTTGAGTTCACGTTTCTGAACTTGAGTTGAAGGGAACACTTGAACTCGAGTTGAAGGGGACACTAGAACTCGAGTTTTAGTCACAAACTCGAGTTCAAACTCGAGTTCAAATTCGAGTTCAAACTTAAAAGAACATAAACTTGAATAAAGTTGAAACTCGAGTTGATTTTTTTGAGTTTTTTGGACACCCGAACACACCCAAAATCATCTAAATCAGAATTAAAACGAAAAAGTTATAGCATTTTTAAGAATAAAAAAAATATTGTTCATTAATTTGAGTTTGAGTTTCTGAATTCGAGTTGAAGGGGAAACTTGAACTCGAGTTTTAGTCCTAAACTCGAGTTTAAACTTAAAAGAACATGAACTCGAATAAAGTTGTAACTCGAGTTGCATTTTTTTGAGTTTTTCACTCAAAAGAACAAGCCCTTAGTATTTGATTTTTATTTGTTGAAATATTTATTTTTTCATGTAATCATTACAACTTTTACATTTACTAAGTATTTTAAAAATAAATGTTCACTTTTCTTTCAAAGTTAATGATTATAAAAAAAAATGTAGATTAACATTTTAAATAGCATTATGTATTGAAGTAAAAATGAAAATAACATATCATATCATACTTTTTAATGTTAAATATACATTTAATATTAGTATTTGTATTAAAAATAGTAATAATAATAACAATAACAATAACAATAACAATAATAATAATAACAATACCAAATAATAATAATAATAATAATAATAATAATAATAATAATAATAATAATAATAATAATAATAATAACAATAACAAATAATAATAATAACAAGAACAAGAACAAATAATAATAATAACAATAATAACAATAATAACAATAATAACAACAACAATAATAATAATAATAACTTTCCCACCCTAATCAGTCCGCCCCTTTTTGAACACGACCCATGTGTGCTTTTTCGTGTTAGAAAATCAACTCTAACCCAAGTAGTTTATTAATCGTCTTATTCCTCTCAATCCGATTATAACTCAAATCTATTTATAGTAAACTCAAACTCACTAAGGATGGATCTATTCACACTCATTTTTTATTTTCCACACCCCCTTTAAATTTTAATTTCTTATGAAAGACCTCGCATAAATGACAAAAAAAATACAATTATCATGTCTCAATTACATAGTCAAATTTTATTATAAAAGAAAAGTAATTACTTTTTTTTTCTCTCAACATACCCCACATATTATTATCTCAAATTTTAGTTTTTTACTAATTATTTTGTTTTTAAAAGACGACCATTTCATTTTGGCCTTTTATTATTGTAACATTGCATTGTTTTTCTTCTTTTTGGCCATGTTTATTTCACCATTCGAGTTTTGTTACAGTAAAAAGCTTTAAAAAACACTTACATCTAACTTTTTTACTACAATAAAAAGCTCACATAAAATCACATCTCAGCTCGAATTAAAAACTTGAATCAGCGAACTAAATGAGCTCTTTATGTTTCATTCTCTCTCTTTCTCTATTCTTTTTATACTCTTTAGCATTCGCTTTTGATTTGTTTTTGTTTTTTTTTTCCTGTTTTGTCTTTTCTATCAATACCTCAATAGATATAAGAATTATGGTGTCATTACTCTTATATTTATGTCCTTTACTTTTCTAAAAGAAATGTGCAGTAAATTTTCTTTATGTATG